GAAAGAGTTCTTTGTTGCACAAATATATTGCATATGAGTTATCTTTCTTCTTTGTATTGTAGTGTTTTCAATGCAAAGACCTATATTTTCACTCTGGTTCTTTATCAAAATGTGTGAGTGTACTGTATTATTGAGGTTGTGCTTCAGCTCTGTTAGAGCCTGGCTCCATAACCCTGGGTAAATTTTCTCTCTCCCCTGTTTCAGAAATAGCTACAGTCTTGGTCCCTTGTTCCCACTTTTTTGTGGGATTTTAGTTCTTTTGGACAGTTGCAACTCAGTTTGTGTCTGTGTTTGTTTCTAAGGCTTTGGCCCAAAGTCAGTGGTATTTGTAAGGACATCTGTTGTTCAGCTCATCTGTGTGAATTTTTGGTGTGCTTTTTAGCGCAAGCTAAAATCCGTATGCTGAGTCTGCATAACACCAAGAAGCAGTTTCCCTGTGAAGGGACAATGTGCCTGATCTATTTCAGAAGGACCAAAAAGACTTGGTGACCCAGGTTAACTTAGCTTGGGCTTCGCATTCACCTGAGAGTCCAGCGAGACTGCAGAGGTGCCGCCGGGCTGTGGCTGCAGAAGTGGTAGCTCTGCAGAAGCACCTGGCCCTTGTGCCTGCCCCAAGTAGTATTTGTTGATATCAAAACTCTTTTCAGGTGTGCTTTTTGATGAAATACATTTTGGGAAAGTGTTCCCAGCAATGTGATGAGTCTTCGGATCATAGCTGTGGAGAAAAGTACTTACCTAGGACATAAGAGGTTAAGACTCAGATTCCTGGTCCAAATGAGTCGGAGCAGTTTGGTTTGTGCCTTGTCTTATGCAAAGCTAGGATCTGGACCTATAGCCTGTTTTGAGAGAGTTTTTCTATAAGTTGGCATTTTACCAAGGAGAAGTAAGTAAGTCTTACTTACTTGGGAGTTTCTTCTAGAACTGTGAAAGACCTTCTGCTTGGGCTGCCACAAAAGGTGGCCGTGAAAAGGAGTCTGGGGATGAAAAAGCAGCAGGAGGCAGAGCCAGTGACATGGGAAGTAAAGGTTGGCTTTGGGCTTGGAAGGTTAACAAGTCTCCAGGTTTCCCCCTGGGAGATCTGCCTTCTTAAAAGGGAGAGCTCTGCCCAAAGGCTTGCTCCACACAGAGGTAAATATTTGCTATTCTGCTTCCATGCTCTTAGTCCTCTATTTACCAAATAAAAATGATTGAGGGGTGAGATCATGACTAATATGATCAAATAGTTGAGGGTCTTGGATGCCTGGCAGTGCAGGTGTGTGCTCAGCCTGGCTGAGCCGCTCTTTGAACGCACCTGGGAGCAGAGCGGGGCCCTGGGCGCAGGGGACACCGCCTCAGCCTGGCACTGCTCTGCACGCATTGGCAGGGCCTTTTCTTACATCATTTAGTTGAAATTAATTTACTAATGCAATATTTGCCTGAGCAGTTATGAGAACCTTCAGAAATACTGTTTTTTTTTTTTTCACCCCCAAAGAGA